CCTCCTATTAATCCCCAAGACAAGTTTCTCTCTGGCTTCTCTCCTCCTCCTCCTCCTCCTCCTCCTCCTCCTCCTCCTCCTCCTCTCCGCTCCGCCACGGGCGAGCCCGGCCGGGGCGCGGGGGTTTTGTGGCTGGGAGCGGTGGGAGCGCGGGGGGCGGAGGGCTGGGAGGGGAGGGCTGGGAGCACTGGGAGCACTGGGAGGGCTGCAGCGAGGCACGGTGACAACAATCACGTCTTTCTCTGGCAGCCGAGCGCGGCGGGCTCGGCGCACACGCGGCTCTGGAGCTCGGCAACAATTCCTCCTCCTCCTCCTCCTCCTCCTCCTCCTCCTCCTCGTCTTCCTCCTCCTGCTGCTGCCGCAGCTCCTTGTTTCAAAACAAAGCTAATTAATCACGGAATAAGCCCTGCCCTCGCCGCCGGCTCCGCTGTCCCCGCAGTTGTGCTGGGTGGGTGTTCCTTGTCGCCGCCCGCTGTCCCCACATCCCCAATTCCATCAGGGCAGATGAAAGCTGGAAATTGGGGTGCAGGGTTTGCTTTGCTGCCAGCTGGGAATGAGCTTGGATTGAAATCCCGGTGGCACTCGGTGAAGGCAGGGTGGGGGTGACACGGTGGTGGCACCAGCTGGGTGTCCCTGCCCAGGGGACACTGGGTTTTCCTGGCTGGGAAACAGCGGTGCACAGAGGGGACACGGCCAGGAGCACCCGGGGGGACATTTGTGCTCCAAAAGGGACATTTTTGTCCACGAGGGGCTCAGAGGAACCGGGACCTGTTGCGTGTTCAGAGCTCTGAGGGATCCCGGGGGGCACAGCAGCCCCCCAGCCCCGGGAATTGCTGTCCCACACCCATCCCTGTCCCGGAATTCCTGGGATTTGGGATCCAGGGGGGCACAGGAGCCCCCCAGCGCCGGGAATTGCCGTCCCACATCCATCCCGATCCCGGAATCCCTGGGATTTGGGGGCCGGGGGGCCGGAGGAGCCCCTCAGCCCCAGGAATTGCCATCCCACATCCATCCCGATCCCGGAATTCCTGGGATGTGGGATCCAGTGGGGTACAGGAGCCTCCCAGTCCCGGGAATTCCCCTCCCACATCCATCCCGATCCCGGAATCCTTGAGATGTGGGATCCAGGGGGGCACAGCAGCCCCCCAGCCCTGTGAATTCCCCTCCTGCATCCATCCCTGTCCCGGAATCCCTGGGATTTGGGATCCAGGGGGGCACAGCAGCCCCGGGAATTGCCATCCCACATCCATCCCGATCCCGGAATCCTTGAGATGTGGGATCCAGGGGGGCACAGCAGCCCCCCCAGCCCTGTGAATTCCCCTCCTGCATCCATCCCTGTCCCGGAATTCCTGGGATTTGGGGTCCGGGGGTCTCCTCCCTCCCTCCCCACCATCCCCCTCTCTCCATCTACAGCAGGACCGTGAAACCCGAGCTGCTCTGGCTCCTCGAAATCCCAACCCGGCCGTGCCAGGGGCTGGCAGCCCCCCAGGAGGGGCTGCTCCTGCGCTGCCACACCGCGCTGGCAGCGGCTGGCAGCCGAAACCGGAGCTTTTCCCAAAATTCCCCCTCTCTGCACCGCCCCTTTTTTTTTTTTTGCCTCAAATATATTTCTTGCCAACACTTTGAATTTTACCCCAAAACCGGGGGATGGCTCCTTGCTGAGGGCCTGGAGCAGGATGATCCCGAACCTGAAATCCAGCAGGTCGATGGAGTGGGAGGCAGGAAAAGGCATCGAGAGGAGCCACGGAGGAATTCCAGGCTGTTTAAACAAAAAATCGGGATGGAGACTGGAGTTTGCCAGCTGGAAAAGCACCAGGATCGATAGGGAATGGAGATGCTGTTTGGAAGGAGATGCTGCTGGAATTTG